GCAGCTGATTCTTATCAGCGGCCAGGTGGAGGACTTGCAGCAGCTTCAGACTCGGGTCACTACCTGGCGTGACAGGCTTCTCGTGACGATAGACGACCGACTTGCGAGAGCCTGTGACGTGGGGTTCCTTGCGCAGCAGTTTGCAGCAGAGCCGGCACGCTCTGCTATCTGGCAGAGCATCCAGACGCTGAGGGTTAGGTGCCACGCTGCTGTTACAGACGCACTCCTCCGTGTAGGGCTGCAGCACCGGCAGTACGCAGACACTGAGAGCAGGCGGGTGGAGCAGCAGCAGCGTCAGAGAGAGCGACGTCAGGAGCGGCGTGAGCAGGCAGAGGCGACGCCTGTAGACCAGACCATGGGAGAGTTTGTCCCCAGGGAGGTCGAGAGGCAGGTGGGCGCCTGGCAGGACGAGGCCCGGGAGCAGCTTCGTCGCATCCTCGAGCGACTTGACCGTTTGGAGGGGCGGCGCTCAGGGCAGTCAGGCCAGCAGCAGCGAGGCAGGACCAGGACTAGGGAGGTTACGGGTGACGGACGCCTGGAGTCCGTCTCTCCTGTCCGTAGCCGCACTCCGCAGGGCCGACAGGGCAGCCGCTCACAGCCTACTCAGGGAGCGGGTGCACAGACTGCAGGTACACAGGGTGCAGCAGGACAGCCTTCCCAGGGTCAGGGAGCAGCCACCACGACCCAGCAGCGCCCAGTGACACAGACCCAGGGGCAGCAGCAGCAGGGTCAGGGGCAGCAGCAGGGTCAGGGGCAGCAGCAGCAGGGTCAGCAGCAGCAGCGGCAGCAGCAGCAGCAGCAGCAGCAGCAGCAGCAGCAGACCCAGCAGCAGCAGACCGGGACCACACGTCAGTCTGAGCAGGCCCCTGCCTCCACTCAGGGAGGCAAGGGGAAGGGCGGCGGTGGCTCCACGAGTTTCCAGGACCGCAGAGGCGGTAGAGGAGGACGTTGGGACCGGGGAGGTCGTTGGGGGAGGGGTGGACTGGACGGCGGGTGGCAGGACCGTGACAGTTGGTCACAGCAGCCGTTCCAGTCTACCTACCAGGGCCTAGCACAGCAGCAGCAGCCGTTTAGCTCTTACGGCCTGCAGCAGCAGCAGCAGCCGTTCGGTCCTTACGGCCTGCAGCAGCAGCCTTCTTGGCAGTACGGACAGGGGGGGTCCTCTTTCGGCCCCTACCAGGGCTCCTTCTTCCAGGGTCCCTCGTACTTTCCCTTTTCTGGCGCACCTGCGCAGCAGCAGTTCTACCAGCAGCCTTTTTTGGGGCCTTCTTTCCAGCAGCAGCAGTTTGGAGCACCCCTCCGGCAGCAGCAGTTTGGAGCACCTCCTCCGACCCCCCCACAGCCCCCCCTGCCACAGCAGCCTCCACAGGGTCAGGGGGAGCAGCAGGGGCAGGCGAGGCAGTAGAGGGAGTCGTGGGGGAGGAGGTCGGTCGTAGGAGGAGGAGTAGGCCGCGTAGGAGGCTGGAGGAGAGTGACACCGACCGTCTTTTGAGACTGTTTGCTAGGCGCTCTGTGCAGGAGGTGGCGGACAAGCTAACTAACGTGGCTGTCCACAACCTTTCGCGCAGGCAGTTGTCAGAGGATGAGCTTGCAGGCCTCGCCCTTGGCCTCAAGTTCATCCCGACACCACCCTCCTTAGACCAGGAGCAGCTGAGACAGGCGGTGGAGCAGTTTCAGAGGAGGGTCAGGCTGGCTTGGCAGTTCCGGGACAGTCGCAGACCAGTACCCAGGTTCAGAGTCCCACGTCCCAGCTGGCAGCCGAGTTCGGGACCAGAGGAGGTTGAGGAGTACCTGGCCGGGGTAGCTGACAGGGTAGAGGGTTTGTCGGAGCTGATAGGGGGGCCAGCGCGGCCCAACGTGAGCAGGAGGGTGTTGGGCGCGCTGCAGAGGTTGAGTCGGGACCGGTCTATAGTTATTAAACCGGCCGACAAAAACCTTGGGATTGCGGTGTTAGACAGGGAGTGGTACGAGGGGGAGGCGCTGAGGCAGCTGGGGGACAGGGCGGTTTACGAGCCGGTGGCTATGGTGCCGTTGCAGAGACTTTGGGGGCAGTTGTGTCGGTGGGCAGAGCAGGCACGCCTGGCAGGGTTGCCGTCGCAGGTGTTAGACTTTATCCTGCAGCCACGCACTCCGTGTTTGGAGCGGGCTACCAGAGCTTGGGAGCGGTTTCGGGTGTGCAGATTCTACTTGCTACCGAAGCTGCACAAGACTCCAGTAGCCGGCAGGCCTATCTGCTCGTCCACGCTCTGGGTTTTTGAGCATGCATCGGCAGTCTTAGACCACTACCTCCGCCCTTTACTACGGTTTTCACCCTCGCACCTTCCAGACTCACTTGCACTTTTGCACCAGCTAGAGGACCTTCGTGTGCCAGCAGAGGCTCTCTTCCTGACCTACGACGTTGAGAGCCTCTACCCATCGATCCCTATCGACGCAGGTATCAGCTGCATCGAGAGGTGGTTGCTTCGGTGGGCAGCACAGGGGAGGATTGCAAGGGGGGTAGCAGACACACTGGTGCAGCTGTTGGGGTTGGTCATGAGGCAGAACCACCTCGAGTTTGGTGGTCGTTTTTGGCGGCAGGTTCGGGGGACTGCTATGGGCACGCCTGTAGCAGTGATCTACGCGGTTCTGTTCATGGCTTGGTTAGACGAGAGGTTGCTAGAGACAGAGCCCGAGTTGTCGCAGCACGTCCTTCTCCACCGCAGGTTCATAGACGACGGGGTGGTGGTTTGGACGGGGACACGGGAGCGGCTGCTGGAGTGGGTGGGGGCGTTTGGTGGGTTGGAGCAGACTATTCGACTGACCCACGAGATCTCCACCTCACAGTTCACCTTGCTGGATATCACGTTCAGCAAGGGAGAGCTCTGGCAGACGACGGCTATCTTGGACACCACGACCTTCCAGAAGCCGCTCAACGTGTACCAGTACTTTCCTTTCTCCTCCGCGCACCCCTCTCACTGCAAGAGGGGCTTCATCTTGGGTGAGCTGCAGCGGTACATTCTGAGGGAGTCCAGTTCTCGAGGGTTTAGGAGTATCAGGTCGGCCTTCTACGCTCGGCTGCGGGCGCGGGGGTACCCAGACACTTTCTTGCAGCCGATCTTCAGCAGCATCTCCTACGCACGACGCCCGGAGCTTCTTGCCAGGTCACGGGCTCGGGGGGAGGGGGAGCAGGAGGCGCAGCAGCGGGTTCTCCCTCTTGTTCTCGACTTCCACCCGAGTGTGCAGCAGGTCCGCTGGGGTAGGTTGCTGGCCTTCCCTCCAGAGGCACCAGCGTTTGAGCAGCTTTCTCACTACAGGGCACCTTTCGTGTCCTACAGGGCACCTCCGTCGCTCCGACAGCTACTCGTGCGAGCGTCGTTCAGGTGACTAGGGTGCCCCGCTCTCGCCGTCGCCGCACAGCACGTCACTTGTCTTCTGTGGGTGTCGTGCCGTCTCGGTTAGTCGTCTGCCGCCTCCCCGCCCTTCCTCCTTGTTTCACAGCACGTGCACACGGGTGGGGCCTTGGAGCGAGCACCTTTCTGCACTTCGCAGCGGCGTGCTGCATTTGGTTGGGCCGTCGCAGCAGCACCATCCCCCGTCCAGTCTCTTCGTTTTCTCACACAGGCTGGACCCAGGGATGCACGACAGCCTCCCGCCTGACTTCTTTGATTTCAGCCACACAGGTCAGGCCCTGGGGCAGTGTGAGTGTACCTGCGACTACACTCTGCGTTCGTTGTGGGTTGTATCTGTGGGTTACGCACTTGCACACTTGTACCATTCCCCATCCCAGACCGTTATGAGTACTGGGATGCCTTTCTCCTCTTTGCACGGGACTTGGGTTTTGGTAGCATGTGCATTGTACCTTCCCCACCTCTGGCCATATGAGCACAGGGGTGCCTTTCTCCTCTTGCACGTAGTGGGGATTTATGGGATTCGGGGTACCATGACACATGGCACATGTACTTGACACGCCCCCGACCTTTATGAGTACCAGGGGGCACAGCACGCGAGAGGGTGACTAGGCCTCTTTCTAGTTTCGGGGGTTAGCTTGTTAGGTACATGCAGGTCTCCGTCTCACTGTGTAGGGCTGATGAAGGGCTCTTCGACGAGCCTTCACACGCCCCGAACGGAGCACCGAGCGCTGAGTTACGCGCGTTTTAGTGGTACGCTCTCTGGTTTCGCGCGAATCTGGAGAGCGCCGGGCTGGCACCCGAACATGACTGTTTGCATGTTCCGGTTTTCGCCACCCGGACCCGACGGTTACCCTGTATATTATATGTCGGACCATGAGCCCCGTAGGGGCTGGAGGCTGCCGGAACCGTCGGATTCGCCATCTGGCGCCCGGATTGGGAGATATGGGCAGCTGGGTGTAGGCCCTTGGCAGGCTGCACAGTTGGCAGCCTGCAAGGGCGTTTCTTTGCCTAGGTGGCAGGTTAGGCCCACATTGCACTTTGGGGCATTGGGTTGGGTTGGGACAGCTATAAGTAGGGAGCTCTTGCTAGGGTAGATCCTTGTCTTGCTGATGATGCCTTCGTGGCGAAATCGATACGAGACTGCTTCTACCTACACTTGAGGTACTTACTCTATTGCATGTCCCTACACCCCTAGGCTTAGGACTTGTGTTTTTTTCAGCAGTTTGCTTGCCTAGCTAGAAGTTTCTTGCAGTTCTCCTGCATTCCGCTAGGCCATTTTCGTCGTCGTTTTTTCCTGCCGCTTGGGGAGCCTTGTGTTGCCCCCTGGCGGCCCTAGCCTACCCTTAGAGTAGTGCCATCGGCTAGACTTTCAGAGACTCGTGCCCCTCGACTTCTCCCAGTCTAGGCCGTTAGTCTCTCGTTCTACCGATAGGCCGTCACAGCCACTTTCTTCGTTAGCGACTCTAGACTGTCTGGAGCAGCACTGCAGCTCAGTTCTTTGAGCATTCCTATCAAACCCTAAACCTATTGCACTGACGCCGGTGTTGGAGAGTGGCGTAGACGATACAGACTCCTAGTTTTTTCCGTTTCGTTAGTCTTTTAGACGTCACCATGAGTGGGCTCCGAGTTCCTGCAGCGGCAGGCACTGGGGGAGGAGCCGGTGTCGGCAGAGCAGGAGACCAGGGGGGATCAGCGGCTGCGGCTATGGAGACTAGTGCACCAGCTACTGTCGCTGATATTACTGAGCAGTTTCGGCGTACTCGTAGACGGACCGAGCGGGACGAGGAGGACAGACGGACGGAGTTGGCGCTGGAGCAGCAGGCCGAGTGGCAGCGCAGCATACAGCAGCAGCTTCGTCTCAGGAATATTGAGGGGGATATCCTGCGAGACCGGTCCGTGATAGACAGCTGGGTTAGGATGATCTCTCGTGACAGGGAGCAGTTGGCACAGGAGGCAGCTTCCATTCGCGAGCAGCTGAGACAGGAGGCTGAGACCTTGGCACAGCAGCGGCAGCAGCGACCACGGCTTGGGCTACCGTCGTCGCAGCAGGAGCCACAGCAGCAGGGCCAGCAGCAGCAGCAGGGGCAACAGCAGGCCCAGCAGCAGCAGGGTCAGCAGCGGCAGGGTCAGCAGCAGTCTCAGCAGCAGCAGCCGCAGCAGCAGCAGCAGCCGACAGCCACCGGTGCGGCGGGTGAGGCTACTGCCGGGGGAGAGCAGACAGACACTCTTGCCTCGAGGCTGTTTCGGCAGGTCTTTGGTGGTCTTTTCCCAGACACTTCTGGAGGAGGGGCAGCAGCCGCAGGAGCAGCAGGTGCAGGGGCTGGGGCTGCCACGGACCCTGCTCTACTTTCCAGGGTGGCGGAGATTAGGGACGCCATCCAGGCAGAGACGGTACCACCAGAGTTTACAGCGCTCATAGAGACAGAGTCCGCTGTACTAGCAGCTGACTTGCGAGCCGTCGTTAAGACCGAGAGGGGTCTGGCGAAGACTCGCAAGCAGTTTTCTGAGGGACAGGTGGCGCACTGCATCCCGAAGAACTTTGTACCTGAGCTCCACCTCCACACTACAGAGGCACAGGAGCAGCTTCGGACTAGGATGCAGGAGCTTCAGCAGCACGCACAGGGACAGATGCAGCTGATTCTTATCAGCGGCCAGGTGGAGGACTTGCAGCAGCTTCAGACTCGGGTCACTACCTGGCGTGACAGGCTTCTCGTGACGATAGACGACCGACTTGCGAGAGCCTGTGACGTGGGGTTCCTTGCGCAGCAGTTTGCAGCAGAGCCGGCACGCTCTGCTATCTGGCAGAGCATCCAGACGCTGAGGGTTAGGTGCCACGCTGCTGTTACAGACGCACTCCTCCGTGTAGGGCTGCAGCACCGGCAGTACGCAGACACTGAGAGCAGGCGGGTGGAGCAGCAGCAGCGTCAGAGAGAGCGACGTCAGGAGCGGCGTGAGCAGGCAGAGGCGACGCCTGTAGACCAGACCATGGGAGAGTTTGTCCCCAGGGAGGTCGAGAGGCAGGTGGGCGCCTGGCAGGACGAGGCCCGGGAGCAGCTTCGTCGCATCCTCGAGCGACTTGACCGTTTGGAGGGGCGGCGCTCAGGGCAGTCAGGCCAGCAGCAGCGAGGCAGGACCAGGACTAGGGAGGTTACGGGTGACGGACGCCTGGAGTCCGTCTCTCCTGTCCGTAGCCGCACTCCGCAGGGCCGACAGGGCAGCCGCTCACAGCCTACTCAGGGAGCGGGTGCACAGACTGCAGGTACACAGGGTGCAGCAGGACAGCCTTCCCAGGGTCAGGGAGCAGCCACCACGACCCAGCAGCGCCCAGTGACACAGACCCAGGGGCAGCAGCAGCAGGGTCAGGGGCAGCAGCAGGGTCAGGGGCAGCAGCAGCAGGGTCAGCAGCAGCAGCGGCAGCAGCAGCAGCAGCAGCAGCAGCAGCAGCAGCAGCAGACCCAGCAGCAGCAGACCGGGACCACACGTCAGTCTGAGCAGGCCCCTGCCTCCACTCAGGGAGGCAAGGGGAAGGGCGGCGGTGGCTCCACGAGTTTCCAGGACCGCAGAGGCGGTAGAGGAGGACGTTGGGACCGGGGAGGTCGTTGGGGGAGGGGTGGACTGGACGGCGGGTGGCAGGACCGTGACAGTTGGTCACAGCAGCCGTTCCAGTCTACCTACCAGGGCCTAGCACAGCAGCAGCAGCCGTTTAGCTCTTACGGCCTGCAGCAGCAGCAGCAGCCGTTCGGTCCTTACGGCCTGCAGCAGCAGCCTTCTTGGCAGTACGGACAGGGGGGGTCCTCTTTCGGCCCCTACCAGGGCTCCTTCTTCCAGGGTCCCTCGTACTTTCCCTTTTCTGGCGCACCTGCGCAGCAGCAGTTCTACCAGCAGCCTTTTTTGGGGCCTTCTTTCCAGCAGCAGCAGTTTGGAGCACCCCTCCGGCAGCAGCAGTTTGGAGCACCTCCTCCGACCCCCCCACAGCCCCCCCTGCCACAGCAGCCTCCACAGGGTCAGGGGGAGCAGCAGGGGCAGGCGAGGCAGTAGAGGGAGTCGTGGGGGAGGAGGTCGGTCGTAGGAGGAGGAGTAGGCCGCGTAGGAGGCTGGCTGGAGGAGAGTGACACCGACCGTCTTTTGAGACTGTTTGCTAGGCGCTCTGTGCAGGAGGTGGCGGACAAGCTAACTAACGTGGCTGTCCACAACCTTTCGCGCAGGCAGTTGTCAGAGGATGAGCTTGCAGGCCTCGCCCTTGGCCTCAAGTTCATCCCGACACCACCCTCCTTAGACCAGGAGCAGCTGAGACAGGCGGTGGAGCAGTTTCAGAGGAGGGTCAGGCTGGCTTGGCAGTTCCGGGACAGTCGCAGACCAGTACCCAGGTTCAGAGTCCCACGTCCCAGCTGGCAGCCGAGTTCGGGACCAGAGGAGGTTGAGGAGTACCTGGCCGGGGTAGCTGACAGGGTAGAGGGTTTGTCGGAGCTGATAGGGGGGCCAGCGCGGCCCAACGTGAGCAGGAGGGTGTTGGGCGCGCTGCAGAGGTTGAGTCGGGACCGGTCTATAGTTATTAAACCGGCCGACAAAAACCTTGGGATTGCGGTGTTAGACAGGGAGTGGTACGAGGGGGAGGCGCTGAGGCAGCTGGGGGACAGGGCGGTTTACGAGCCGGTGGCTATGGTGCCGTTGCAGAGACTTTGGGGGCAGTTGTGTCGGTGGGCAGAGCAGGCACGCCTGGCAGGGTTGCCGTCGCAGGTGTTAGACTTTATCCTGCAGCCACGCACTCCGTGTTTGGAGCGGGCTACCAGAGCTTGGGAGCGGTTTCGGGTGTGCAGATTCTACTTGCTACCGAAGCTGCACAAGACTCCAGTAGCCGGCAGGCCTATCTGCTCGTCCACGCTCTGGGTTTTTGAGCATGCATCGGCAGTCTTAGACCACTACCTCCGCCCTTTACTACGGTTTTCACCCTCGCACCTTCCAAACTCACTTGCACTTTTGCACCAGCTAGAGGACCTTCGTGTGCCAGCAGAGGCTCTCTTCCTGACCTACGACGTTGAGAGCCTCTACCCATCGATCCCTATCGACGCAGGTATCAGCTGCATCGAGAGGTGGTTGCTTCGGTGGGCAGCACAGGGGAGGATTGCAAGGGGGGTAGCAGACACACTGGTGCAGCTGTTGGGGTTGGTCATGAGGCAGAACCACCTCGAGTTTGGTGGTCGTTTTTTGGCGGCAGGTTCGGGGGACTGCTATGGGCACGCCTGTAGCAGTGATCTACGCGGTTCTGTTCATGGCTTGGTTAGACGAGAGGTTGCTAGAGACAGAGCCCGAGTTGTCGCAGCACGTCCTTCTCCACCGCAGGTTCATAGACGACGGGGTGGTGGTTTGGACGGGGACACGGGAGCGGCTGCTGGAGTGGGTGGGGGCGTTTGGTGGGTTGTATTTTAATGATACGACGACCCACGAGATCTCCACCTCACAGTTCACCTTGCTGGATATCACGTTCAGCAAGGGAGAGCTCTGGCAGACGACGGCTATCTTGGACACCACGACCTTCCAGAAGCCGCTCAACGTGTACCAGTACTTTCCTTTCTCCTCCGCGCACCCCTCTCACTGCAAGAGGGGCTTCATCTTGGGTGAGCTGCAGCGGTACATTCTGAGGGAGTCCAGTTCTCGAGGGTTTAGGAGTATCAGGTCGGCCTTCTACGCTCGGCTGCGGGCGCGGGGGTACCCAGACACTTTCTTGCAGCCGATCTTCAGCAGCATCTCCTACGCACGACGCCCGGAGCTTCTTGCCAGGTCACGGGCTCGGGGGGAGGGGGAGCAGGAGGCGCAGCAGCGGGTTCTCCCTCTTGTTCTCGACTTCCACCCGAGTGTGCAGCAGGTCCGCTGGGGTAGGTTGCTGGCCTTCCCTCCAGAGGCACCAGCGTTTGAGCAGCTTTCTCACTACAGGGCACCTTTCGTGTCCTACAGGGCACCTCCGTCGCTCCGACAGCTACTCGTGCGAGCGTCGTTCAGGTGACTAGGGTGCCCCGCTCTCGCCGTCGCCGCACAGCACGTCACTTGTCTTCTGTGGGTGTCGTGCCGTCTCGGTTAGTCGTCTGCCGCCTCCCCGCCCTTCCTCCTTGTTTCACAGCACGTGCACACGGGTGGGGCCTTGGAGCGAGCACCTTTCTGCACTTCGCAGCGGCGTGCTGCATTTGGTTGGGCCGTCGCAGCAGCACCATCCCCCGTCCAGTCTCTTCGTTTTCTCACACAGGCTGGACCCAGGGATGCACGACAGCCTCCCGCCTGACTTCTTTGATTTCAGCCACACAGGTCAGGCCCTGGGGCAGTGTGAGTGTACCTGCGACTACACTCTGCGTTCGTTGTGGGTTGTATCTGTGGGTTACGCACTTGCACACTTGTACCATTCCCCATCCCAGACCGTTATGAGTACTGGGATGCCTTTCTCCTCTTTGCACGGGACTTGGGTTTTGGTAGCATGTGCATTGTACCTTCCCCACCTCTGGCCATATGAGCACAGGGGTGCCTTTCTCCTCTTGCACGTAGTGGGGATTTATGGGATTCGGGGTACCATGACACATGGCACATGTACTTGACACGCCCCCGACCTTTATGAGTACCAGGGGGCACAGCACGCGAGAGGGTGACTAGGCCTCTTTCTAGTTTCGGGGGTTAGCTTGTTAGGTACATGCAGGTCTCCGTCTCACTGTGTAGGGCTGATGAAGGGCTCTTCGACGAGCCTTCACACGCCCCGAACGGAGCACCGAGCGCTGAGTTACGCGCGTTTTAGTGGTACGCTCTCTGGTTTCGCGCGAATCTGGAGAGCGCCGGGCTGGCACCCGAACATGACTGTTTGCATGTTCCGGTTTTCGCCACCCGGACCCGACGGTTACCCTGTATATTATATGTCGGACCATGAGCCCCGTAGGGGCTGGAGGCTGCCGGAACCGTCGGATTCGCCATCTGGCGCCCGGATTGGGAGATATGGGCAGCTGGGTGTAGGCCCTTGGCAGGCTGCACAGTTGGCAGCCTGCAAGGGCGTTTCTTTGCCTAGGTGGCAGGTTAGGCCCACATTGCACTTTGGGGCATTGGGTTGGGTTGGGACAGCTATAAGTAGGGAGCTCTTGCTAGGGTAGATCCTTGTCTTGCTGATGATGCCTTCGTGGCGAAATCGATACGAGACTGCTTCTACCTACACTTGAGGTACTTACTCTATTGCATGTCCCTACACCCCTAGGCTTAGGACTTGTGTTTTTTTCAGCAGTTTGCTTGCCTAGCTAGAAGTTTCTTGCAGTTCTCCTGCATTCCGCTAGGCCATTTTCGTCGTCGTTTTTTCCTGCCGCTTGGGGAGCCTTGTGTTGCCCCCTGGCGGCCCTAGCCTACCCTTAGAGTAGTGCCATCGGCTAGACTTTCAGAGACTCGTGCCCCTCGACTTCTCCCAGTCTAGGCCGTTAGTCTCTCGTTCTACCGATAGGCCGTCACAGCCACTTTCTTCGTTAGCGACTCTAGACTGTCTGGAGCAGCACTGCAGCTCAGTTCTTTGAGCATTCCTATCAAACCCTAAACCTATTGCACTGACGCCGGTGTTGGAGAGTGGCGTAGACGATACAGACTCCTAGTTTTTTCCGTTTCGTTAGTCTTTTAGACGTCACCATGAGTGGGCTCCGAGTTCCTGCAGCGGCAGGCACTGGGGGAGGAGCCGGTGTCGGCAGAGCAGGAGACCAGGGGGGATCAGCGGCTGCGGCTATGGAGACTAGTGCACCAGCTACTGTCGCTGATATTACTGAGCAGTTTCGGCGTACTCGTAGACGGACCGAGCGGGACGAGGAGGACAGACGGACGGAGTTGGCGCTGGAGCAGCAGGCCGAGTGGCAGCGCAGCATACAGCAGCAGCTTCGTCTCAGGAATATTGAGGGGGATATCCTGCGAGACCGGTCCGTGATAGACAGCTGGGTTAGGATGATCTCTCGTGACAGGGAGCAGTTGGCACAGGAGGCAGCTTCCATTCGCGAGCAGCTGAGACAGGAGGCTGAGACCTTGGCACAGCAGCGGCAGCAGCGACCACGGCTTGGGCTACCGTCGTCGCAGCAGGAGCCACAGCAGCAGGGCCAGCAGCAGCAGCAGGGGCAACAGCAGGCCCAGCAGCAGCAGGGTCAGCAGCGGCAGGGTCAGCAGCAGTCTCAGCAGCAGCAGCCGCAGCAGCAGCAGCAGCCGACAGCCACCGGTGCGGCGGGTGAGGCTACTGCCGGGGGAGAGCAGACAGACACTCTTGCCTCGAGGCTGTTTCGGCAGGTCTTTGGTGGTCTTTTCCCAGACACTTCTGGAGGAGGGGCAGCAGCCGCAGGAGCAGCAGGTGCAGGGGCTGGGGCTGCCACGGACCCTGCTCTACTTTCCAGGGTGGCGGAGATTAGGGACGCCATCCAGGCAGAGACGGTACCACCAGAGTTTACAGCGCTCATAGAGACAGAGTCCGCTGTACTAGCAGCTGACTTGCGAGCCGTCGTTAAGACCGAGAGGGGTCTGGCGAAGACTCGCAAGCAGTTTTCTGAGGGACAGGTGGCGCACTGCATCCCGAAGAACTTTGTACCTGAGCTCCACCTCCACACTACAGAGGCACAGGAGCAGCTTCGGACTAGGATGCAGGAGCTTCAGCAGCACGCACAGGGACAGATGCAGCTGATTCTTATCAGCGGCCAGGTGGAGGACTTGCAGCAGCTTCAGACTCGGGTCACTACCTGGCGTGACAGGCTTCTCGTGACGATAGACGACCGACTTGCGAGAGCCTGTGACGTGGGGTTCCTTGCGCAGCAGTTTGCAGCAGAGCCGGCACGCTCTGCTATCTGGCAGAGCATCCAGACGCTGAGGGTTAGGTGCCACGCTGCTGTTACAGACGCACTCCTCCGTGTAGGGCTGCAGCACCGGCAGTACGCAGACACTGAGAGCAGGCGGGTGGAGCAGCAGCAGCGTCAGAGAGAGCGACGTCAGGAGCGGCGTGAGCAGGCAGAGGCGACGCCTGTAGACCAGACCATGGGAGAGTTTGTCCCCAGGGAGGTCGAGAGGCAGGTGGGCGCCTGGCAGGACGAGGCCCGGGAGCAGCTTCGTCGCATCCTCGAGCGACTTGACCGTTTGGAGGGGCGGCGCTCAGGGCAGTCAGGCCAGCAGCAGCGAGGCAGGACCAGGACTAGGGAGGTTACGGGTGACGGACGCCTGGAGTCCGTCTCTCCTGTCCGTAGCCGCACTCCGCAGGGCCGACAGGGCAGCCGCTCACAGCCTACTCAGGGAGCGGGTGCACAGACTGCAGGTACACAGGGTGCAGCAGGACAGCCTTCCCAGGGTCAGGGAGCAGCCACCACGACCCAGCAGCGCCCAGTGACACAGACCCAGGGGCAGCAGCAGCAGGGTCAGGGGCAGCAGCAGGGTCAGGGGCAGCAGCAGCAGGGTCAGCAGCAGCAGCGGCAGCAGCAGCAGCAGCAGCAGCAGCAGCAGCAGCAGACCCAGCAGCAGCAGACCGGGACCACACGTCAGTCTGAGCAGGCCCCTGCCTCCACTCAGGGAGGCAAGGGGAAGGGCGGCGGTGGCTCCACGAGTTTCCAGGACCGCAGAGGCGGTAGAGGAGGACGTTGGGACCGGGGAGGTCGTTGGGGGAGGGGTGGACTGGACGGCGGGTGGCAGGACCGTGACAGTTGGTCACAGCAGCCGTTCCAGTCTACCTACCAGGGCCTAGCACAGCAGCAGCAGCCGTTTAGCTCTTACGGCCTGCAGCAGCAGCAGCAGCCGTTCGGTCCTTACGGCCTGCAGCAGCAGCCTTCTTGGCAGTACGGACAGGGGGGGTCCTCTTTCGGCCCCTACCAGGGCTCCTTCTTCCAGGGTCCCTCGTACTTTCCCTTTTCTGGCGCACCTGCGCAGCAGCAGTTCTACCAGCAGCCTTTTTTGGGGCCTTCTTTCCAGCAGCAGCAGTTTGGAGCACCCCTCCGGCAGCAGCAGTTTGGAGCACCTCCTCCGACCCCCCCACAGCCCCCCCTGCCACAGCAGCCTCCACAGGGTCAGGGGGAGCAGCAGGGGCAGGCGAGGCAGTAGAGGGAGTCGTGGGGGAGGAGGTCGGTCGTAGGAGGAGGAGTAGGCCGCGTAGGAGGCTGGAGGAGAGTGACACCGACCGTCTTTTGAGACTGTTTGCTAGGCGCTCTGTGCAGGAGGTGGCGGACAAGCTAACTAACGTGGCTGTCCACAACCTTTCGCGCAGGCAGTTGTCAGAGGATGAGCTTGCAGGCCTCGCCCTTGGCCTCAAGTTCATCCCGACACCACCCTCCTTAGACCAGGAGCAGCTGAGACAGGCGGTGGAGCAGTTTCAGAGGAGGGTCAGGCTGGCTTGGCAGTTCCGGGACAGTCGCAGACCAGTACCCAGGTTCAGAGTCCCACGTCCCAGCTGGCAGCCGAGTTCGGGACCAGAGGAGGTTGAGGAGTACCTGGCCGGGGTAGCTGACAGGGTAGAGGGTTTGTCGGAGCTGATAGGGGGGCCAGCGCGGCCCAACGTGAGCAGGAGGGTGTTGGGCGCGCTGCAGAGGTTGAGTCGGGACCGGTCTATAGTTATTAAACCGGCCGACAAAAACCTTGGGATTGCGGTGTTAGACAGGGAGTGGTACGAGGGGGAGGCGCTGAGGCAGCTGGGGGACAGGGCGGTTTACGAGCCGGTGGCTATGGTGCCGTTGCAGAGACTTTGGGGGCAGTTGTGTCGGTGGGCAGAGCAGGCACGCCTGGCAGGGTTGCCGTCGCAGGTGTTAGACTTTATCCTGCAGCCACGCACTCCGTGTTTGGAGCGGGCTACCAGAGCTTGGGAGCGGTTTCGGGTGTGCAGATTCTACTTGCTACCGAAGCTGCACAAGACTCCAGTAGCCGGCAGGCCTATCTGCTCGTCCACGCTCTGGGTTTTTGAGCATGCATCGGCAGTCTTAGACCACTACCTCCGCCCTTTACTACGGTTTTCACCCTCGCACCTTCCAGACTCACTTGCACTTTTGCACCAGCTAGAGGACCTTCGTGTGCCAGCAGAGGCTCTCTTCCTGACCTACGACGTTGAGAGCCTCTACCCATCGATCCCTATCGACGCAGGTATCAGCTGCATCGAGAGGTGGTTGCTTCGGTGGGCAGCACAGGGGAGGATTGCAAGGGGGGTAGCAGACACACTGGTGCAGCTGTTGGGGTTGGTCATGAGGCAGAACCACCTCGAGTTTGGTGGTCGTTTTTGGCGGCAGGTTCGGGGGACTGCTATGGGCACGCCTGTAGCAGTGATCTACGCGGTTCTGTTCATGGCTTGGTTAGACGAGAGGTTGCTAGAGACAGAGCCCGAGTTGTCGCAGCACGTCCTTCTCCACCGCAGGTTCATAGACGACGGGGTGGTGGTTTGGACGGGGACACGGGAGCGGCTGCTGGAGTGGGTGGGGGCGTTTGGTGGGTTGGAGCAGACTATTCGACTGACCCACGAGATCTCCACCTCACAGTTCACCTTGCTGGATATCACGTTCAGCAAGGGAGAGCTCTGGCAGACGACGGCTATCTTGGACACCACGACCTTCCAGAAGCCGCTCAACGTGTACCAGTACTTTCCTTTCTCCTCCGCGCACCCCTCTCACTGCAAGAGGGGCTTCATCTTGGGTGAGCTGCAGCGGTACATTCTGAGGGAGTCCAGTTCTCGAGGGTTTAGGAGTATCAGGTCGGCCTTCTACGCTCGGCTGCGGGCGCGGGGGTACCCAGACACTTTCTTGCAGCCGATCTTCAGCAGCATCTCCTACGCACGACGCCCGGAGCTTCTTGCCAGGTCACGGGCTCGGGGGGAGGGGGAGCAGGAGGCGCAGCAGCGGGTTCTCCCTCTTGTTCTCGACTTCCACCCGAGTGTGCAGCAGGTCCGCTGGGGTAGGTTGCTGGCCTTCCCTCCAGAGGCACCAGCGTTTGAGCAGCTTTCTCACTACAGGGCACCTTTCGTGTCCTACAGGGCACCTCCGTCGCTCCGACAGCTACTCGTGCGAGCGTCGTTCAGGTGACTAGGGTGCCCCGCTCTCGCCGTCGCCGCACAGCACGTCACTTGTCTTCTGTGGGTGTCGTGCCGTCTCGGTTAGTCGTCTGCCGCCTCCCCGCCCTTCCTCCTTGTTTCACAGCACGTGCACACGGGTGGGGCCTTGGAGCGAGCACCTTTCTGCACTTCGCAGCGGCGTGCTGCATTTGGTTGGGCCGTCGCAGCAGCACCATCCCCCGTCCAGTCTCTTCGTTTTCTCACACAGGCTGGACCCAGGGATGCACGACAGCCTCCCGCCTGACTTCTTTGATTTCAGCCACACAGGTCAGGCCCTGGGGCAGTGTGAGTGTACCTGCGACTACACTCTGCGTTCGTTGTGGGTTGTATCTGTGGGTTACGCACTTGCACACTTGTACCATTCCCCATCCCAGACCGTTATGAGTACTGGGATGCCTTTCTCCTCTTTGCACGGGACTTGGGTTTTGGTAGCATGTGCATTGTACCTTCCCCACCTCTGGCCATATGAGCACAGGGGTGCCTTTCTCCTCTTGCACGTAGTGGGGATTTATGGGATTCGGGGTACCATGACACATGGCACATGTACTTGACACGCCCCCGACCTTTATGAGTACCAGGGGGCACAGCACGCGAGAGGGTGACTAGGCCTCTTTCTAGTTTCGGGGGTTAGCTTGTTAGGTACATGCAGGTCTCCGTCTCACTGTGTAGGGCTGATGAAGGGCTCTTCGACGAGCCTTCACACGCCCCGAACGGAGCACCGAGCGCTGAGTTACGCGCGTTTTAGTGGTACGCTCTCTGGTTTCGCGCGAATCTGGAGAGCGCCGGGCTGGCACCCGAACATGACTGTTTGCATGTTCCGGTTTTCGCCACCCGGACCCGACGGTTACCCTGTATATTATATGTCGGACCATGAGCCCCGTAGGGGCTGGAGGCTGCCGGAACCGTCGGATTCGCCATCTGGCGCCCGGATTGGGAGATATGGGCAGCTGGGTGTAGGCCCTTGGCAGGCTGCACAGTTGGCAGCCTGCAAGGGCGTTTCTTTGCCTAGGTGGCAGGTTAGGCCCACATTGCACTTTGGGGCATTGGGTTGGGTTGGGACAGCTATAAGTAGGGAGCTCTTGCTAGGGTAGATCCTTGTCTTGCTGATGATGCCTTCGTGGCGAAATCGATACGAGACTGCTTCTACCTACACTTGAGGTACTTACTCTATTGCATGTCCCTACACCCCTAGGCTTAGGACTTGTGTTTTTTTCAGCAGTTTGCTTGCCTAGCTAGAAGTTTCTTGCAGTTCTCCTGCATTCCGCTAGGCCATTTTCGTCGTCGTTTTTTCCTGCCGCTTGGGGAGCCTTGTGTTGCCCCCTGGCGGCCCTAGCCTACCCTTAGAGTAGTGCCATCGGCTAGACTTTCAGAGACTCGTGCCCCTCGACTTCTCCCAGTCTAGGCCGTTAGTCTCTCGTTCTACCGATAGGCCGTCACAGCCACTTTCTTCGTTAGCGACTCTAGACTGTCTGGAGCAGCACTGCAGCTCAGTTCTTTGAGCATTCCTATCAAACCCTAAACCTATTGCACTGACGCCGGTGTTGGAGAGTGGCGTAGACGATACAGACTCCTAGTTTTTTTCCGTTTCGTTAGTCTTTTAGACGTCACCATGAGTGGGCTCCGAGTTCCTGCAGCGGCAGGCACTGGGGGAGGAGCCGGTGTCGGCAGAGCAGGAGACCAGGGGGGATCAGCGGCTGCGGCTATGGAGACTAGTGCACCAGCTACTGTCGCTGATATTACTGAGCAGTTTCGGCGTACTCGTAGACGGACCGAGCGGGACGAGGAGGACAGACGGACGGAGTTGGCGCTGGAGCAGCAGGCCGAGTGGCAGCGCAGCATACAGCAGCAGCTTCGTCTCAGGAATATTGAGGGGGATATCCTGCGAGACCGGTCCGTGATAGACAGCTGGGTTAGGATGATCTCTCGTGACAGGGAGCAGTTGGCACAGGAGGCAGCTTCCATTCGCGAGCAGCTGAGACAGGAGGCTGAGACCTTGGCACAGCAGCGGCAGCAGCGACCACGGCTTGGGCTACCGTCGTCGCAGCAGGAGCCACAGCAGCAGGGCCAGCAGCAGCAGCAGGGGCAACAGCAGGCCCAGCAGCAGCAGGGTCAGCAGCGGCAGGGTCAGCAGCAGTCTCAGCAGCAGCAGCCGCAGCAGCAGCAGCAGCCGACAGCCACCGGTGCGGCGGGTGAGGCTACTGCCGGGGGAGAGCAGACAGACACTCTTGCCTCGAGGCTGTTTCGGCAGGTCTTTGGTGGTCTTTTCCCAGACACTTCTGGAGGAGGGGCAGCAGCCGCAGGAGCAGCAGGTGCAGGGGCTGGGGCTGCCACGGACCCTGCTCTACTTTCCAGGGTGGCGGAGATTAGGGACGCCATCCAGGCAGAGACGGTACCACCAGAGTTTACAGCGCTCATAGAGACAGAGTCCGCTGTACTAGCAGCTGACTTGCGAGCCGTCGTTAAGACCGAGAGGGGTCTGGCGAAGACTCGCAAGCAGTTTTCTGAGGGACAGGTGGCGCACTGCATCCCGAAGAACTTTGTACCTGAGCTCCACCTCCACACTACAGAGGCACAGGAGCAGCTTCGGACTAGGATGCAGGAGCTTCAGCAGCACGCACAGGGACAGATGCAGCTGATTCTTATCAGCGGCCAGGTGGAGGACTTGCAGCAGCTTCAGACTCGGGTCACTACCTGGCGTGACAGGCTTCTCGTGACGATAGACGACCGACTTGCGAGAGCCTGTGACGTGGGGTTCCTTGCGCAGCAGTTTGCAGCAGAGCCGGCACGCTCTGCTATCTGGCAGAGCATCCAGACGCTGAGGGTTAGGTGCCACGCTGCTGTTACAGACGCACTCCTCCGTGTAGGGCTGCAGCACCGGCAGTACGCAGACACTGAGAGCAGGCGGGTGGAGCAGCAGCAGCGTCAGAGAGAGCGACGTCAGGAGCGGCGTGAGCAGGCAGAGGCGACGCCTGTAGACCAGACCATGGGAGAGTTTGTCCCCAGGGAGGTCGAGAGGCAGGTGGGCGCCTGGCAGGACGAGGCCCGGGAGCAGCTTCGTCGCATCCTCGAGCGACTTGACCGTTTGGAGGGGCGGCGCTCAGGGCAGTCAGGCCAGCAGCAGCGAGGCAGGACCAGGACTAGGGAGGTTACGGGTGACGGACGCCTGGAGTCCGTCTCTCCTGTCCGTAGCCGCACTCCGCAGGGCCGACAGGGCAGCCGCTCACAGCCTACTCAGGGAGCGGGTGCACAGACTGCAGGTACACAGGGTGCAGCAGGACAGCCTTCCCAGGGTCAGGGAGCAGCCACCACGACCCAGCAGCGCCCAGTGACACAGACCCAGGGGCAGCAGCAGCAGGGTCAGGGGCAGCAGCAGGGTCAGGGGCAGCAGCAGCAGGGTCAGCAGCAGCAGCGGCAGCAGCAGCAGCAGCAGCAGCAGCAGCAGCAGCAGACCCAGCAGCAGCAGACCGGGACCACACGTCAGTCTGAGCAGGCCCCTGCCTCCACTCAGGGAGGCAAGGGGAAGGGCGGCGGTGGCTCCACGAGTTTCCAGGACCGCAGAGGCGGTAGAGGAGGACGTTGGGACCGGGGAGGTCGTTGGGGGAGGGGTGGACTGGACGGCGGGTGGCAGGACCGTGACAGTTGGTCACAGCAGCCGTTCCAGTCTACCTACCAGGGCCTAGCACAGCAGCAGCAGCCGTTTAGCTCTTACGGCCTGCAGCAGCAGCAGCAGCCGTTCGGTCCTTACGGCCTGCAGCAGCAGCCTTCTTGGCAGTACGGACAGGGGGGGTCCTCTTTCGGCCCCTACCAGGGCTCCTTCTTCCAGGGTCCCTCGTACTTTCCCTTTTCTGGCGCACCTGCGCAGCAGCAGTTCTACCAGCAGCCTTTTTTGGGGCCTTCTTTCCAGCAGCAGCAGTTTGGAGCACCCCTCCGGCAGCAGCAGTTTGGAGCACCTCCTCCGACCCCCCCACAGCCCCCCCTGCCACAGCAGCCTCCACAGGGTCAGGGGGAGCAGCAGGGGCAGGCGAGGCAGTAGAGGGAGTCGTGGGGGAGGAGGTCGGTCGTAGGAGGAGGAGTAGGCCGCGTAGGAGGCTGGAGGAGAGTGACACCGACCGTCTTTTGAGACTGTTTGCTAGGCGCTCTGTGCAGGAGGTGGCGGACAAGCTAACTAACGTGGCTGTCCACAACCTTTCGCGCAGGCAGTTGTCAGAGGATGAGCTTGCAGGCCTCGCCCTTGGCCTCAAGTTCATCCCGACACCACCCTCCTTAGACCAGGAGCAGCTGAGACAGGCGGTGGAGCAGTTTCAGAGGAGGGTCAGGCTGGCTTGGCAGTTCCGGGACAGTCGCAGACCAGTACCCAGGTTCAGAGTCCCACGTCCCAGCTGGCAGCCGAGTTCGGGACCAGAGGAGGTTGAGGAGTACCTGGCCGGGGTAGCTGACAGGGTAGAGGGTTTGTCGGAGCTGATAGGGGGGCCAGCGCGGCCCAACGTGAGCAGGAGGGTGTTGGGCGCGCTGCAGAGGTTGAGTCGGGACCGGTCTATAGTTATTAAACCGGCCGACAAAAACCTTGGGATTGCGGTGTTAGACAGGGAGTGGTACGAGGGGGAGGCGCTGAGGCAGCTGGGGGACAGGGCGGTTTACGAGCCGGTGGCTATGGTGCCGTTGCAGAGACTTTGGGGGCAGTTGTGTCGGTGGGCAGAGCAGGCACGCCTGGCAGGGTTGCCGTCGCAGGTGTTAGACTTTATCCTGCAGCCACGCACTCCGTGTTTGGAGCGGGCTACCAGAGCTTGGGAGCGGTTTCGGGTGTGCAGATTCTACTTGCTACCGAAGCTGCACAAGACTCCAGTAGCCGGCAGGCCTATCTGCTCGTCCACGCTCTGGGTTTTTGAGCATGCATCGGCAGTCTTAGACCACTACCTCCGCCCTTTACTACGGTTTTCACCCTCGCACCTTCCAGACTCACTTGCACTTTTGCACCAGCTAGAGGACCTTCGTGTGCCAGCAGAGGCTCTCTTCCTGACCTACGACGTTGAGAGCCTCTACCCATCGATCCCTATCGACGCAGGTATCAGCTGCATCGAGAGGTGGTTGCTTCGGTGGGCAGCACAGGGGAGGATTGCAAGGGGGGTAGCAGACACACTGGTGCAGCTGTTGGGGTTGGTCATGAGGCAGAACCACCTCGAGTTTGGTGGTCGTTTTTGGCGGCAGGTTCGGGGGACTGCTATGGGCACGCCTGTAGCAGTGATCTACGCGGTTCTGTTCATGGCTTGGTTAGACGAGAGGTTGCTAGAGACAGAGCCCGAGTTGTCGCAGCACGTCCTTCTCCACCGCAGGTTCATAGACGACGGGGTGGTGGTTTGGACGGGGACACGGGAGCGGCTGCTGGAGTGGGTGGGGGCGTTTGGTGGGTTGGAGCAGACTATTCGACTGACCCACGAGATCTCCACCTCACAGTTCACCTTGCTGGATATCACGTTCAGCAAGGGAGAGCTCTGGCAGACGACGGCTATCTTGGACACCACGACCTTCCAGAAGCCGCTCAACGTGTACCAGTACTTTCCTTTCTCCTCCGCGCACCCCTCTCACTGCAAGAGGGGCTTCATCTTGGGTGAGCTGCAGCGGTACATTCTGAGGGAGTCCAGTTCTCGAGGGTTTAGGAGTATCAGGTCGGCCTTCTACGCTCGGCTGCGGGCGCGGGGGTACCCAGACACTTTCTTGCAGCCGATCTTCAGCAGCATCTCCTACGCACGACGCCCGGAGCTTCTTGCCAGGTCACGGGCTCGGGGGGAGGGGGAGCAGGAGGCGCAGCAGCGGGTTCTCCCTCTTGTTCTCGACTTCCACCCGAGTGTGCAGCAGGTCCGCTGGGGTAGGTTGCTGGCCTTCCCTCCAGAGGCACCAGCGTTTGAGCAGCTTTCTCACTACAGGGCACCTTTCGTGTCCTACAGGGCACCTCCGTCGCTCCGACAGCTACTCGTGCGAGCGTCGTTCAGGTGA